ACATCTATAAGTTCTTTTTTTTCTAAATAATAGTTATGATTTAAGTTATCGAAGGCTTTCGTGAAAACTACAAAAAATAACAAAGGGTCTTTGTTTTCAAACTTGTTTAAAAATTAATTACTTATGTTCCAACAGAGGTATTTCGCTTGACCGATGTTTCCGAAAACCAAATCGCTCTACATAATGTTTGGAATGTCTCTAGCAGAAGTCAGGCAGTCTGGAGAGAATAACATTTTCCAGTCCTTTTGAATAAATAGGTAATATCGAAACAGGTTTGGGGGTTTCCCATGTCGTTTTTGTTTACTTTTTATACAAGACTGACCTTTGCGAGCTGTATTCGCCTACAACGAGACGTTGAATATATAATTTAAGCATGGCAATATAAAATCTAAACACATATTTTACAGACTCGATCTTGATATCGTCTGCATCACAGCTTGCACTGCTATTCATTCCCCAAGAAACGAACGTCCCCTCAGTGTCCGCAACTGGGCTCAGAAATAAAGCTTCTTTATTCAGAAGTGACGAAAACCTTTACTGACCAAACCATATAGGTCAACGAAGCGTCTAGATCAATGAAGCGATTATCGAATTCATTGTCAAAGCAGCTTGCAGTCATTTGTTTGTTGCGTTATCCAATTCGCATAACTGATTATTATTCTTTTATTAAGGTACAGCACAGTATTGAGCTTCCTCCACCTTACATCTGCCATATTTACACACATCGAGAAAAATTTACCAACATAGTTCACTTTCGCATTTTTAATTCCCTTCATTAGTTGGTTGGGATATATATAGGGTGAGTGTGAGAAACCCGAACCCGGCTTTTCGCACCGCAAAAATAAACTGGACATCCCGGAGAGCTCAAGCTCCGTCAGAACGTAGCCCCAGCCATTCGAGCAAGATGCCAAAGTTTTAGCACCAACCGTTATCTTATTCAAAAGTTATAATTTCAACAAAAACCTTTATAATTTCACTAAAAAATGGGGCCCATTTTTGCCCGTTTTCGGTTTCTGGCGCCAAAAGGGCTCCATGAAATCGGAAGCTCCGTCGGCCGCCATTCTTCTATTGAGATTTTCAGAAAATCACCTATAAATTTTGAATAAGATAACGGTATCGTGCTGAAACTTTGGCGTCTCGCTCGAATGGCTGGGGCTACGTTCTGATAGGGTTTGAGCTCTCCGCGATGTCTAGTTTATGTTTGCGGTGCCAAAAACCCGGGCTCAAATTTCTCAGAAACGCCCGGTAATTTTAAAGCTCTAAGCACGTCAAGCTTTCGCGAGTTTTGCAAAGGTGGCATATGTGTGCCCTTTCTTTTATTATGCCTCATAGTTCTGGGGTGATCTAAGTATTGCGAATTACTTCGCCCTGCTGGAGTAACATATAAGAAAAGCGTTCCTGGTACACGTTTTGAAACCTAGATAAAAACATATTATAGGGATGATCTCCGTCAGTTTTCTGAAAGACATAACATATATCAAGGTTGTGTATTCTCTGTCCAGAGGTATCCAGCTGGTTCGATGTAATTTATTGAACAAAATACTGGTTGAGGGTCTTTCGTATGCAATGTACTTTTTTACGACACAAATAGGTACAGTGATGATCGCTTCTGTCGGTACTTATTACTCCTGCTTTAAACTATGACATATGAATATTGGTTATGAATAGGACAAGCAGCAGAGAAGATGTAGGAGGCTTTTAGGTAGGTAAGGCGCTTGTATTCACGCATTTCAATGGACGACATACGAAATCAGCAGCGCCACCTAGTTCGGGCGCCGAAGATCATGCTCCGTCTCACCAGTTGGCTTCGGCGCTGGCAAAGGCAAGGGCGCCAAACCGTAGTTCTAGAGAATCTTTCCCTCGCACAAGCACTCGCGCAAAGAAAGCGTTTTCGAAAACCAGGCGCCCGCGCCCGTGCCCTTGCCGGCACTCAATCCCAAATTTTGAACTGAAGTGTACGTGCTCCACGTTGGTTACGGCGAGAAACCAAGGAATAGCGGGAAGACGAGCACGTACATGCTCAAAGAGGAGCGTAAAACAATGCTAGCCCTTAGCTCGCAGTTGTGAGTGAGGATCAATGACGGTGAGCGGTAGGCCTCGATATTTACCGATGACGCTACGAAATCCAGAAACAGCAGAGAATGCCCACCCAACAAAGATGGCAGCGTACAGAGAGTTTCTAGACGTTTTAGCAATTTGGCATATCGACCATTGCTGAATAATCTGTTAAAATTGCATCTTTGCAGATCTGTCGAAGATCATGTTTCTATTAAAATCGCCGTCCAAAATCACTTTGCATTAATTTTCCCTCGCAATTACCAAAAGTGATTCGTGAAAAAACTGGAGGTTTTTGTCTGGATGCAGTACACACCGGCTATCACGTTTCGTTTAACGCACTCTTGATTAACACACGAGTATTCCGCCAGAACTTTCGCAGAACAAATGTTTCTTTACCACTAAAGACACAACACCTCAGAAAATGCTGATTCAGTTTAGAAAAAAAAAGTTATATATAGGCTGGTTAAACGCAGTGTTTTAATCAACGTACCAAGACTCAGTTAAAATAATCACGTCGAATGCACATTCGAACAGAGCAAGAAGTACTTCAAGTTGAACACTCTTATTTTTAGCGGATTTAAGTTAAATAGTTTAAGAAATTCTGCAAATTCACTTAAGCAAACATTTCCGAAATCAATGGCATAACATAAACCTAACTTGTCATTATAGAGGATCAAAACTAATACAAAAGCAAGGGTCAGCAAGAACTACACAAAACTATCCAAGTCACTTTCACTTAGACAGAAGAAGCGCTCTCGACCCGTCCTTCTGTGTAATATAAAACCTAACATTCTTGCGCCAGCCACACTTGTAATCATAATTTTGTGCCCAGTCGTTGGTCACCGCAAGCAAAACAGTTTTCCTTTGTCAAGTTCTCAAGAAGGTAGCGATGCGAATTTTGACGCGTTTTTATTAGCCGAGAAAGTGATTACTGTTAGCATTGCTTGAACGATCGCAACGTCTATGTGATAACGAATTCTAATTTCTAGGTTGCTATATCTCTGCTAAGGTTACATTGACTTGTGCAATCGTAGACAAGACGTGTGTCGATATTTGTACTATCAGTAAAGTCATGTTTTAAAGTTGTTATCGTCCAAGACGGCGTACTACATCTTTTCCTTTTCACTTTTTATCCACTCTGCCCTGCGGGCCTATCCTGAGAAAATAAAAATTAAAGAAGCTTGAGCCCATAGAAAACTTCGTGCATTGTTTGCTACGCCAGTCAGTGGCAGCGCGTCTCCTTCTTTTTCGAGATACCGCGGAAACGGCTGACGGCGGCGGAGCAGCGGCTGTCGTGCTGACGGTCTGCTGCGCTACGTACCGGCGTATGAGACCAGTCCGTGCTGTCCCTGTAGCGCAACATATCTGATTGAATTTAGCTCAGCTGCGGTGTGTCTATAGCTATCGCGGTGATGAGAGGCGACGATTCAGAAAATATGTCGGCGGCACTGGCGCCATCAGCGCAGTAAAACCCTGTGGTAAAAACCTCCGGCACACCGCCATCTCGCCGCTAACGTTCCCATTCTCCTACTGCCGAGAATACTTCCGGTGCCGGTGACAGAGCACGTCACGATCGTCAAAATTACGCCGCTGCTTGTTTTACGGTGAGTTGGACAGGAAGAAAACTCGATCTTTCAATATTTGTTTCTGTAGAAGTTTATAAACCAAAATTGAAAAGGATGCCTGTTCGGCGTTCAGTGAATATTGAAGGTTTAATATAAAAGTTATTGGGGCGAATATACAAAGGTAATATCATGGTCCACAGGTTCTTTTAGCTACCTTAACTAACTATAGTTTTTGACTCCCCAGCCTTTACCCTTCCGGTATGATCTCTAAAAAAAGAAAGTCGTAATAGTTATTGTGACATCGGCAAGTGAAAATGATTCCATAACCAGCATTCAAATATACTTGCACTCTTCAGTGCCGTGGCGTCAGAGGCGGGCAGGCTTGCCAGTCGAGCAAGTAGTCTAAAAAATAGAATATACCAAATGTGTTGCGTGCTGCAGCGCGGGAACTGGAGCAAGCTTCCAAAGCATTCATTTGACACCATGAAACTGCTTTGAATCAGTTGGGCAGTTGGGAACCAATTTTACAGTCCAAAGAGTGAACCCGTGCCTTCCATTGACCTCACTTTTTCCTTGTTGCCAGTAGAGACTTTAAGTTTGAAAGCGACCAAAACTGTAAATTCAATAACTTCGCAAAAAAAATATATATTTTTGCCTAATATTTGGGACACTACTTTAGCGATGTTTGTTAATGAATTTAGCAAAATTTCAAGCAAAACGAAGGCAATAAATACACCTTTTGAGTACCTCTTTAAGTAACTTTAAAAATTGGTAAGTTCATTCTCTCGCTCAAAACCAATAGAGCGAATCACGGTGAACGATAAAAAGGAGCAATCCAATAACGATCCAAAATATGATTGGATATCAAAAATTGGATCTAAGCAGACTCAACGTGAAAGTAGCCATCATGCTAATTTCCCCTTCGAACATTCTATTATTCAGATAGATTCTATTGTTTCAGTGTATTTTGTGTACCTTGATAGAACACTTTCAGAACAGAATTCTATGTTCTGTTCGCACAACCAAGCTGCACTTGCGGATTTTCAATGCTGTTTTAACGTCGCCGCCTGAACGTACTTTTTGGCAAAGGCTAAAATATAAAAAATATATATATAGATATATACATCAGCAATTCAGCATTTCGTTGAGCCGCAGCCTATCATAATTTTGAAAAATTATCTTGCAGAAGCCATCTGCATATATATATATAGAGAGGAATATATATAAGTCGAAGAAGTGTTCTACTGGGAACATCTAAAACGAAGTTTATTACGATGTTTCGAGCGATCCCCACTCGAAACTTCGTAATAAACTTTGTTGTAGATGTTTGCCAGCAGAACACTTCTTTTTTATTCCAGAATTTAGTATGTATCTTACCATTTTGAATTGCGTATACAATTAATACCGTGCCAAATATAATCATCTTCGTTTGGCCCTGCATTGCAGAAAGGAGTCACGGTACACCGAAAATGTATTCCTGAAAAGAGCAAAAAGCACGTCAATATACCGTCATATATTAACGCTGCCACTTTTGAACTTTGTATCAGGTCTGACAGGTAATGATTCGTTAAAATGGGGATTGATATTGTCTATTCATGGTGGAAGCTAAACCTACGCGTCCTCAGCATTGGCACATCCTATACTCAGCTCTTTAATTCTACGGCGGCACAAGCTTAAAACGGCACGACACGCAAGTTCGACCAAGTTTGCGCTACACATGGCTTGCACAAGTAACGTCATACTGATGGTAATTCCGACGTGTTCATGCGAACAAAAACAATACGGTGCTACAAAATGTAAACTGCCAGGCTACCGCAGTACCAGCTGGTGTGAAGTCAGTGCAGGCAATAGCAAGACTGCGCTCGTGTCTTCACCTCCGCTCTCACTTATGAATAAATAGAGCTATGGCAGGCTAGTTCATCACAATTTAGCCAAGAGTATATTCTGCGCGGTTACGCCGAGAGATGCAATGGTCCATGCAATTAGCAAACGCATAAAGAAGATCGGCCAGTGAATAGCTGATATGCATCAGATGGATGCTACAAGCCATCGGAGTCACTCTAGCACTGAGAGCATAAGACTTTTTGATTAAACATTGTGATTTATGGAGCTCGAGGTCAAGTGGGGCATGATGGGGTGGGATAGGCTTGATTGCTAATAGCCGGATGCATTGACCGCGCTCTCCTCTTGAAAGCGAAAAGAAGGCGCGCGACGGCGAGGCATGGCGGGTTGCCTGGGCATGTCGCTGCTGAGACCCATTCTTTGCTAAATCACCGAAGAACCAATCAGAAAGTTGGGAGCGCAGATACATGTGCTGCACACGCTCGCCTTCCTTGCATAAAACGTATGAAGTAAATTGGAAAATAGGGCGTTGACGAACGCACGTACATAAAGTCGCCTTTATTTAGATATTTCGCCTTTTTACACTAAGTGCTACTTACGCCAACGCGTGCAGCGGATATCCTTACGTTCCAGGAATTCTTATCGATACTTGAGTAAATCATCAAAAGTTCTGTTCTTGCAGTTTTCCTGCAATCCGATTTTGGCCAAGTTATGTGTCAAGCAAACGGCGTCTGCCGCGAGCCGTTTACTTGACGCAACTTTCGCTGGCTATGAAGCCAAAGCTATCGGCGCCCGTGCAGTCGCGCAGCTTAAAGATGTACAGGCTCGTTCGTCACTTTCAAAATGCCGCAGAAAATTGTCCCGAAATATAAGCCATTCCAGAGCGAGGCTGCTGACCATGGCCATTTGAAGCGTTCTTGAGTATTCCGCGTGCTTCGATCTATTTTCAAAGACATGAATCCGTGCTGAGCTGTGGAGATTGTACGCTGTGCTCTGGATATGCAAGCAATATAAAGATCGCTCATAATGCGCACAAAGCAATAAATGTGCGAAAGGAAGCAAGAGTTATAAAAAGCCAAAAGGAAAGCACTATTAACATTTTGATAAAAAGATGAAGGTGCGTGGTTTCTTTCTTTCTCGTTGCTTTCCAATTTTCACGATGTATTAGTGCTCGTGAGCACGTGCCCACATATGCTTACACCTTTCAATGTTTACAAAATCACAACCCGAAATTCTCTCTTTCTTGCCGAGCACATGCTTATTCGTTTATTTGAAAAGTGGAAAAATAACCCACCATACACAAGAATACTGAACATTGCATCGGTTACAAGCCCTTTATTTCCAAACTGCTTTGTTGAGAACATCGCACAGACCAGCGTGCGCATGTTATTATTCAATAATTCGCTAATCATCATTTGTTCACGTCTGAAGACCGAACTATCGGTGCAGGATATTAATACAATGCAATGCCTCGGTTCGTACTTGTTGGAACCAAACTCCGAGAGAACGAACAAACGACGAAGTACACCTCCCTTGCCAGTATATGATGTCAAGGCGTCAGTTGTGTTAGCGACTCCATATGTCACGACATTACGCGCTGGCGACCAACTTCCACAACCAACGCAGAGAGTCATAGTGGACAACCAAGGTATACAACATAATCAGCAATTGTGGTGTTCATCAAATAACATTTGAATGGCTTGAACGTGTTTCTAAATGGGGAGCATGGTGCAAAAACACATTTAGTTGACATCATTCGCCACTCCCGCCGAGGAGGACACGTAAACAAGCTTGTGTTCGGAACTTCGGATCTAGCTTCGAACAAGGAGGGGTTCCTTTCGCGCCGACGCAGTGCCCGCTCCGATCTATAGTCCAAGAGTAAAAGAAAAGGCACAAGAGGCCCACATTCAAGAACGGCGAACGGCGGAGAAGTGCCGCGAAGTCCAGCACACCTCTGAGGAAGGAACTATCGACGCTGGTATAATAAGTGAGAAGTGTTTACATAATAGGAAAAAGCAGATATTGGAACCTAGAAAGCCTGTATTTCAGGATTTCAAACTGCTCGATCGGAGTCATGTGGTTTCTGGGCTGGCTTCGGAATACGAGCTGCGAAGTGGAGAGTGAAAGCGTCTGTCTTATGCAAAAGTCCACGCCTTTCTGTCTGCTTCCGTTCTCTCCTAGCGAGAATGCAGCGGATGCGCATAATCGACCAATCTTCGCTATTAAATTGCAAACAATCGCCATGTTTGCAGATTGACCTTCTCTTCATTCTAGGCTCTCTAGATGGGTCTCTTGATTCGGAAACCATTTAGTAGCGCTCAAAAGAAGCTCTAGGCGCGCCGGACATCATCCAGGCACTCCGTTAGATCGAGTGTCAACCACAAAATGTATTTGTTGTATCCTGCTTCTGAGTTAGTCGGTAATCAGAGCCAGTTGCATATTACTGGCTTATGTCCCAAGAACAATATATCTAGCTCGCCTAGATCGGCGGGGAACAGCCCCTGACTCGACCCGACCCTGAGCGCAAAACCTGTATGAGCAGGAGGGAGCAACTCGTTGGTTCCGAAAAACATCTGCGCCATCTATGACGAGAAAGCAATACATTAATCGCGGTTGAATCCCGCATATGAAGGAATACTAATATCAGTGCCACCTGCCATACCACAGTTTCTGGACCACACGATAGATACCGCCATATAGTGGTTTAACTAATTGCTTGCTCCAGATGTCCTTCTTGGGATCGGAGACTTAAAAAAGCACATACACCCCCCAGTGTTTTTTTTACTGTTTTTTTATCAAGCGATTTATTTAAGTTTCAGAAATCTATAGCCAATCAATATTTTGCTACAGCGTCACGTATATTTTGAATAAAGTCAAAAAGACGCGACTGCTCAAAACCGAAACTGGACTGCGGACAAGGAATAAATATAGAGAAGGAGAGAGTTGCCGGATGTCGCGTGGCTGTGCAACTTTTTTTTTTTTCAATCAACGTATTTGCAGCTTTCTAGAAGCCAGAAAAAGTGGGTATAATTTTTTTATCTTTAATATTGAGCGTGCGCCTTCGATGACCCACGACTTTGGTTATATTTGGTAGTTGCGGTTAGCTTATAAAACGGCACGTGACCACGGCGAAGAGAGTTAGCGCGACTTAAACCGGGCAGTTCACGACTGGTGGTTTTCGGGCGGCAAGACAACGAATTTCGAGTGGCAAGGTGTTTCCTGGGTAGTTTGGCTCTCATTTGTCATTTGCAGACAAAAACCTTGCGAGCATGAACACATTGTCAATGTCCCTTTCAGGGGACACTGAAAGGCAAAAGAGTTTTTTTAACGGACAGAGATGGGACACGTAGTTTTAAAAATAATTTTTCAAAGAAACTACTTTTTTCTTGCGCAATAATTACGCCGTTAGACGCAACTTAGGTGCAGAAGGTGGATGTCGCAGCCCGTTCAGCCCCACCCCTTGCTTACAAGGTGCTTAGATCTCTCATTGGCTGGATGTGTTTGACATGTGAAAGGTTGATTGTAAATTTGTGTCCCTGTGTCGTAGTATCAATTCAATCGACTATTTTTTTATGTTTGAGAAGCAAATAATCAAGATAGGGTCGTTATTGCTTTTAATTGTATTCTGAAATGCCTTACCCCGCTTTGGTTCCAAACGTTAACAACTATGCCTACCGGCGTCTGCGGAGAGCTGTACGAGTGAAGCCCGTTGAGCTTGTCGATTTTTATGAGTGCGAGTGGTTTGGAGTTCACAGAGCTTTTTAGAGGAATATCTCCTCAACCGAGGTTGTTTGCCAAATATAACGGCCGCAAAAACGCAACTTCGGACGAGCTGTGCGGATGCTTGTTCTCGTAGCAGGACTGGCCGAAACTTAGCGTTTCAGATCAACTATTTTGATTGAACTGGCTTGATCTCTTGCTTTGCGCGTGTCGATGCTGAATAAAAATGTTGGCTTTCAAAAAAAAACCTGCCCCGCTGCCTTGAGAATAGTGCAACCGTCGTGATTGCGAAAGTGGTCTCAATACCGAGAAGATACTTACACAGGTAAGAATTCGCGAACAATTAGGTTGGAGGGAATCGGGAGTTCGGCTCCCATCAAATTTGTCTATCTACGTTCCCGTCATTGCGCCTCGAAAGGCAAGTTTTCGAATTTTCCATGGCACCTGAACTACCAAAGATAATATTTTTACGTTACGTGTTAATTGCACGTCATGACGCCCACACACCTTGCTCCCGGATGCCATATGAAAAATATTACATGAACAGTAAAGCTGAAAGGGCAACACATTTTGTTTGGTTGATTTTTTTAGTCATCTTGGCTGCTTATTACCGACCATTGGTGGACGTTGACAGACGCTTGTTTTGGATCATGGCATGTGCATGATGGAACGCTAGAACGCTGCTTTTATGGTCGCGTCTTCTGAGCATTGCAGACGTTTTTAGACGGGGGCGAAATAGCAGACGAACGGAAGAGAAAATGGACGCCGACAAGAACGTTTCGTGTCCACGTCCCACGGGCGTCGGAGGCGACGATAGACGGTGTTGAAATAGCACACGATGCCAGTGGCTGCCAAGCGTTTGCTCGCACGACTAGCAAG